CTTTTATGGTCTTCTGTAAATGTGTGCTTTTCTTAGAAAGGCAGGCTTTCTAATCCTGCAGAGTATGAGTGCTATTCCAGTGATCCCACATCCCTTGGTAGGTCCATCTGCCTGGCACCACGACTCAGCTCAATTTACCAAGGACCATTGTATTTCAAATCTAGAATTCTGTGTTCTGGAAACTCAGCCAATCAACCCTTAGTCCTGAGCAATCCTTAATGGTCTCATTGATTTAAGAAGTATACAGTAAATATAGTGATCATTGTTGATTCTCATGTATATAAAAATACATATACTATATCAGATTGATATAATATTTAGCCTTAAAAAGAAAAGAAAGTCTGACATATACCCAATATAAATGAACCTTGAAGACACTGTGATAGGTGAAATAAGATATGCACAAAAAGAAATTATGTATAATTACACTTACCTGAAGTATATAGGATAATCCAATTGTAGCAAAAGAAAGTAAAAGAGTGGTTGCCAAGAATAAGGAAAGAAAAGAGGAGTCGTTTGTTAACAAGCTGAGTTCCCATTTTGAAAGATGAAAAGAGTTCTAGAAATGGATGGTGGTGATGATCTCATGGAAATGGGAATGAATGTGTTTAATTACTGAATATAAACACTTAAATATGGTTAAGCTCTTAGCCGGGCAAGCACATGACGGTATTCCCAGAACTTCCCAGAGGAAGGAGTATCACAAGTAGGAACAATTGTGAGTAACTTGAGCAACAAAACTAAGTATCATTATGTTAAATAAACACATGAAATAACTATCAGAATGATGGGTACATAAGACTTTTAGGAAATACCTAGTCTATTCTGACAGAAGGTATCTCTGGCCTGCCCTCCTCAGCTGCCCATGCAGCAGTGCCCAGCCCCACCCATCGCACGCATTTCTGTGTCGCAATGGTAGGTCCCCTGTGGTCCAGAAGGTCTCTGTAAAGGCTGTGCACATGCAGTGGCATCAGGGGTGCAAGATCCTGAATCCTGAGGTTCGCAAGCATCCAGTGCACATCTCTGGCCTTAGCCTGTCAGTCTCAGTATCAGGCTGTGTGTACTTTTCGAACAGTCCAGCTCAGCATCTTGCCTTGGAGCCCCTCCCACTCTGCGCTCTGCAAAACATTCCATAGATCTAGTGTGCAGAAAGCCTTTCCAAGTTCAAATCAAGCTGGCTCCCCACACCACTTCCCCCAGTTCAGTGTCTTAAGCATCTGTTGTTGAAGATGACAAAAATACTATTAAACAGCAGCTAACATTTGTCAAGGGCTTACTCTGCCAGGTGTTCCTGCACAGGTCTTACAGATGTGATTTGATTTAATCCTCCAACCCCTGAGGCTTATGGAGATGAAGGCAACTTGCTCAGTCTGGGCTTTCCAGAAGAGGCCATGGGGAGCAGATGAAGGCAGAAAGGGGGGAATTAGCTACTGATCTTCCTGCCTGACAGAGGGCAGTGCTTTTAAGCATTAAAGGGCACACTGTCAGCCGGGAATCTCGATAAGAAGCAGAGGTTAACTCAGCAGGGCTTGCATGGGGCTTGAGATGTGGCATTTCTAACAGCAGTACGCTGAAGCTGCTGGAATGCAGACCAGGCTGCAAGTGGGAAGCGCTAACGCACCAGCTTGTGTTCTCCTCGCCTTGGAATGGAATTCATTCATTTGCACACTCATTCAGTCTCCATCATCTTTAGAAACCATTCAGTATTGAAATGCATCATCTGGGACATGGAAAGCCAGGTGCCAAGTCCCAATCTTGCTTCTGCACTTTTCTGCAGGCTGACCTCTCAGACCCTCAGCCACCAGTCCATAAAATGAGAACAAAACTTGCGTTCTGTCACACGTTTGCATCAGTTGCAATAAAATGTGGCAAGGGTCTGCTACAAGGCCTGGAACATAGGCCTTGCTCAATAAATGGCAGTGATTTGGGAGATTATTTTATTATTCTTATTTGCACATTTCAACCAAGATTCCCATATGGTTTCCATATATTTGTTTATTGATTGATTGATTGATTGATTGATAATTTCAGCAATGGTTTTCTCATGGCTCTGATGGTTACAGTGCTGGTTGTTGGTCCCAGTTATCCCTGGGAGGGTGAGGAAATGGTACCAACTGAGATGTGACTTCTAATCATGTTAGCAGGAGGGACAGGGAAACTGATGAAAAGACAGGTCCCAGGGATGAGTTTGGCAAAGATTCCTCCAGGAAGGCGTGAGAACTCTGTGTGAGGGGAGGAGAGAGCTAGTCAGCGAGACAGGAGCAGGTTAGAGTGTCAGCAGATCACAAGCTGCTAATTATCTGGAGAGAACTAAATATTAGGTAGGCAATTATCGATGGGCATCTGACAGCCACAATAGGACAACTGGTCCCCAGCCAAATTCTAGCTGTTTTCCAAGAAGGTCTGGGGAAGCTAGACTTTAACATTTAGAGTAAGCATTTTTATACCAAAGGATCCCAGGGATGTACTCAAGGCAAGGGGCCCAGAGACCCCAGGGAGTCAGGGTAGGCAGGGATGTCCTCACCCCACCCAGCCAGCCACTCTAACCAAGCACACAGCACTTCGCTTTGAAAGGGGCTTTATCCTCAGCTCCAGGCCTGGAAACCCAGCCCCTCCTCTGCCCCTCCCTTCCCCAAGATGTCATCTTTTGAGACGATTTCATGTGGAAGCATCGCTAAGTAAATTCGCTAAATGCCTATTCATTCTCGTCAGATGGGGACTCAGTGAAGCGTCAAATGTGAAAAGAGCCCCAGCTCAAGGCCCTGAATGATGCTTTCTGGAGTTGCCAAATGGAGCCCACAGGGCTGACCCTGGGAGGCCTGAGCTTCACAGAAGGGGCCCCGGAGCCCGGCCTGGCCCCTTCAATCCTCCCACCAAGGCTGCCCGAGAGGCCTCTGCTTATTATTCCTGCTGCTGGGACCCATTCAGAGGTTAACTTGTCCTGTATTCATCAGGACGACAATAATGAACTGTCGCAGTGAGCGTGCGGGGGTGGGTAAGCAAGGGCTGCTCAGATGCAGAGATGGAAGGCCGCTCTATGGCTAAGGAAGAGACGTGGCTGGGATTTTTTTGTGTGGGAGCTGATTTCATTTCCACTTCTTCCAGCCAATCCTTAAAGACCCTCTTCCTGCAAGCCAGGGGACCTAGAGGTGGATTCTCACCAGTGGACACAGTCCCCACAGTGTATGCCTCCTTGTGCAGATGTCCCTGGGAGTGAACTCTGTGCAGAGCTGTGCAGAGCACCACCCAGCTTTTTGCACATGTAGTCCTTTGGTGTCTGCTGCCACCAGGAGCACAGCCTCTTTGGATTGGAGTCTATTTCAGTAATAGAACGGGACATCAGCTGCACTCATCCTCACTGCAGCATCGCTGAACTGCTTTGTGTCACCCCCTCCCCACCAGAATTGTGAGTTGGTCAACGTGAGCCGACTATCCAATAAGAGACAGGGGCTCGGAGTGGTGAGACTGCAGTCACAGGGAAATGAAGCAGGAGGCCAGAGAGCAGGCAGACGGAGCAGGGCGGCATGCATTTATTATGCACCTACTGTGTGCCCTTCACATCCACGGAGTTATCCCTTCAATACACATGCATGGAAAACCTACTATGTATGTGTGTGGCTTGTTTAACTAACCACCAGGGAAGTTCAGAGAAGGCCACCATTCAGAGTGAATAAGTGACATCCTTAGGCACACAGTGACCTACACAGCCCAGCTGGTTCGTGCAGCTCGGGCATCACTGTAAGGCACTGTCCTGCTTTGCTTCTCAAAAGTCCAGCCTCTTTTCTATTTCCAGAGATGTTCTGCTCCACCCCGCCCCCTCCCAAGCTTCTCCATTTGCAACAATGGTTAACCCCTTCCTGCGGAGGAAGCCTCCTCCCCTGAAGGAGCTGCACGGTGATAAAGGAGCTGTCACATCAGCACCATTTACCTGTTTGGGTTTATTCAGCGGAAGAGGCAACTGCATTTCTGGCAGATGGAGGCCTGTGTGACTGCCTTTTAAAATACTGTCACAGCTGTATGCACAAGCTGATTAGCTGTGACTGCACTGCTAGTGCCGAGATTGATGGCGATAAATTTGGGATAACAATGCCGAGAACGATGTCACCGTTTGCTTTGCACTTCATATTTTTTAAAGCACTCTCAATCAGTAGCCCAGTGGTTATTGAAGACCTGGGAGTCGCTCATTCATGGGCGCCTTCATTGTTCAGGCTGCACTTGGAGGAGCCAGTCCAGACCCAGCTCCCTCCGCGCTCATTCATTTGTTCAGCGCATATTAACACCGCACCAATTATGTGCCGGAGAACAAATGCAGCGGGCTCTGTTCTCATGGAGCTCACTCAGGAACATAACCAAGCGCATCCTGGTGTGATAAGCAGGGTGATGGGATGAGATGGGGGCACCTCTTCAGAAAAGCCTTGCGTGAGGAGGTGACATTTGATGTTGTTGTTTTTTTTTGTTTGTTTTTGTTTTTGTTTTTGGCAGAACCAGGGATTGAAGTCAGGCCCTTGCACTTGCCAGGCAAGCGCTTATTCTACTGAGCCATCTCCCTGGCCCCTGGAGGTGACATTTGAAAAGAGACCTTGATACAAGAGCAGGCAAGCAGTGGGGAGATACAGGACAAAATTCCCAGGCCAACTTAGTGCAAGAAACATAGTTCTATGTTTGGCATTCAGCTACTGATACTTTTCTGTTCACTAAGCGCTGTGGGGTACTAGAGTCCAGAACATCTAAAATGCTGTGTTTATGCTCAAAGAGTTCCTGGTTCAGTAGGATATATGGAAGGGACAGTATACATCCACAGCCCACTTTTATGTGTGGGGGGGTAGGTCCAGGGCTGGAGAAACTCATGAAGAAGACACCCCAGCTGTGAGGCGGTGATCAGAGAAGGCAAGTCAAGCTGAATGGCACCAGGAGCAAATCCTGGCTTCCATGGCTGAGATGGCAGTGCAGACCTGAAGTGTCCATGGTCTCTGACCCCTCTCTCCATTTGTTTCCTGCAGGACAAATGACCAGCTGGTGGCCTTTCTCTCCCGATATCGAGATATGAACTTCTTGAAGTCACACGGTCGGGACAATGCAAGGTAACATATCATTCCCCTCCCTTGGGCAAAATATAAGTGGAAAATCTGAGCAGTAATTTGGGAGCTTCCTTCCATTGAAGGGTGGAGGGTGGGAAGGAGGCACAAGGCCTTGTATCTGAATGGCTGCCTGCATTAAGACCAGAATGGCCTCTTGTGGTAGCCAAAGACAAAAAGTAATTAAATGCAATTAAAAGTAATTATCATACTGTTCTAGCCCTGTACATTTGTGAAGTGTATTATTTTAGTGGAGCAGCCCTTGGATTAAGACAGTCATGATTTAACTTCCATTTTGTTGGTGGAGAAACAGGCCCAGCACCTAAATAATATCCCCAGAGCATCCTGTTGGCCAGTCATGCATCAGATAATATATTTCTCAAGTACTAACTTCAGGCCAGGCAATGATTTAGTGATGAGCAAAACCCACTCCAAGCTCTCAGGAATTTACTGTGCAGTGGAAGAAATCAACATTGAGTTGAACTCAGTAGTCTGACTCCACCCCATTGCCCCTCACTGCTGTCCAGGATGTCAGCAAGGAATGAGGGGGGCACCTAAACCCCATACTGAATCCATAACATCTGTCACTTAAAATGAGCAGTGTCTCTGCTCCACCTGGCAGAGATCAGTTCGAAGCACAGCATCTGCGCTTTCCCCACACTGGCTCCAGAGTATCCCGCAGCTCATACAGTCATTGCTCCTTGTTCATGGGCTGTGTTTGGTCCTTTTGGTGTTTGGTTTTAATCCAGGTATTTTGTTTGAAAATTAATGGCTCTATTTAAATAGAGAAGTGTTTCTCACAAAAATCCAGATTAAAAGTCTACAGATCCACCGCAGTGGGCCTGTCGCTTACTGAGGTCCGCGCAAAGCCCATCTTCACCAGGCCACCATGGCCCTCACCTGTCCCCTCCCCCACATGATCCCCTTCAATGTATCAGTTTGAAATCTGGGATTGGATTTTCTCTTCCATTGCTGGAGAATGTGTTGTTTTGGCTGGATCTGTGACTCATTTTACCTAGTAGTCCTAAGGGGTGGGGCGGGACAACAGCCAACAGTGAATTCCACATCCCAAGCTGTTGAGAAGTCACACCCTAACCCACGTACCATTTTTCTAAACTATGCCTTTGATTTCGTCTGGCTAAGTGTGTAACTGGCCTTGCCTCTTCACATGGGAAAGGCGCTTCTGGCATTGAGGATGCTCTTCCCATTAGCACAGATACGTATAACACATTCAGGCCAACTGTCTTGGTGGGAAATGAAACACACCCAGTTCACACTAGCTTGTGGGTAAAGAAGTTATTGGGTCAGATAACTAAAATGTTGGTTGTGATGTTGGGTGTGGCTGGATCAAGCAGTTCACATGACACTACTGAGCCCAGATTCCTCATGATGATGACAGTAGTGACAGAGGTGATGGCAGTAGTGGTCATGGTTGTGATCATGGCGGTTGTGGTTTAATTCTGTGGCTCCTGGTGGTGACTCTTGGCATCTTAATGAGTCACACCATTTTACAGATAAAGAAACTGAAATCAGAGAGACAAAATAACTTGGTGAAACTCACACAGCTAGACTAGGGCTGGGCTGTAGGTCCGTGTGAGTGTGGCCAGAGTTCAAGCTCCTAACTTCTGCCTGAAGTGGTCCCTCTGTGTGTGAGACCTACTTTCCTCCACTGTGCTGGATGATTGTGAGGCAGCCGCTCTGCTTCTCTGAGCTTAATTTTCTCCCTTTGAAAACCAACTGAACAAGGTGATCTGCAAAGTCCCTTTCCACACAGATGCCCTGGGCCTCTGGACCAGATCTTGTAAGAAGAGGTGGCAAAGGCAGAGAACTTGAAAAATACAAAGATGAGGAGGAATGAAAGCAAGCAGTGGGATGTAGATGGGGCCGCATAGTCCTGATTGCAGTATTGACCTCTGTCCTCATCTTCAGCCTCCAGCAGCCAGTCTGGACTCTACTCCTGCTGAGCAAAGATGGCATAAGGGCAAACTGGCATTTTAACAGCTGCCAAATTGGCCCTGGATGTTCCTGTAATTAAATGAAGGACAGTGTTGTGTTCAGTGTTTCTCTTTGCTTCCCCCCCAAAAAAAAGAATATTAAATAACATTTAGCACAATCATCATTTCCCAGGTGGTCTCAGTGGGGATGGAGGATGAGTATGCCCTAGAGTTACTTGCAGCCTGAGCAATGGAGTCTGGAATCATCTGTGGAACTCCCAGCCTGTGCTTCAGAGGCGCAGAAAAGATTTTGAAATCTCTTCAGCTTGCTCAGGTCTCAGTGTGTGGGAACCAGTCCCCCACAGGGAGATGGAAAGGAGCAACCTGTTCTTTCAGGCAGAAGAGGTTTCTGGGACATCTGGCTCCATCTAACTCTTCACCTCCATCAGCATTGCCAGGCTCCTGTGTTCAGCACCAGGACACTGTGCTGTAGCTGTCAGTCCCTAGACGTGAGAGTCTGGCCACCAGTATCAAAGTGCTGGCTGTGCCATGTCATCCTCAGGACCTCAGTATGGGCTTTGAAAGAAAGCCCTTCTGTCTCCCCACCTTTACAAAACCCAAGCAGCAGTAATGGGATGGGGGACTGAGTGTTTTCATTGAGCACAGGAAGGCCACTGAGCTGGCTGCTTCTGAGTATGTTATCTTATTCCAACCTCACTTGGCAAGTGTTGTCCTGTTGTAGAGATGAAAACAACTCATGGAGACCTGCTGTAATTCACTCAAGACCTCATAGGTAGTGAAGAGCAGAGCCAGGACTGCGTCTGGTCCCTTTGACTTTAAGGCCGCACTCCTTCATCACCCCATGATAAGTGGCTGCGTTTTAGAGGCCTGCTGCTTTAAGTTCTTGGCAAGCACAAGTGAAAGAGGAAATACCTGCTAGCTTGAAAAAGAATCATTTTATGTAGGTGAGGACGAGTCTTTCTCCACTTCCTAGGATCAGCATTTCCCAACATCAATTTATGATCTACCAGGAAAATTCTTTTGGGTCATTTAGAAGTAGACACAATCTGAACATCAGTATTAATCATTTATGCATGCACAAGATTTCATGTAATTAACCAATCTAATCTATGATTTTGTGTCTATTATACTTACATTATGGTAAAGTGGGTTTTTTAAAAAAGCAAATGTTTAAAGTTGGCTTAAAGAAACATTTGCAGGGGATGTTCACTAGGGTCACATAAAGCATGGAGAAGAGACGTTAAAGAGGCCAGGCTGTGAAGCTAGATTGTTGAGACTCACGTGGCAGCCCCAAACACTGACCTGTGTCACTGGGGTACTTTACACCAGTGATCTTTGTTTCAGTTTCCTTCCTGTAAGATGGATGATAAGCATGCCAATACCGTAGAGTTGTCCCAAGAAGTAGCTGAGTCAATATCAGCCTTTGGGACAGGTAACTGCACACGAGAAGCAGAAGGTGATGTAGAAGGATCTCAAAGGTAACAGCCAAGTGACTACAGTGCCTAGAGAGCAAGGCTTCAGAGTGTGAGAAGCCAGGCCAGGTCAGAGGCAGGAGAGGACCCAGCCCTCAGCCCCCGGGTCGGAGTGGCATAGAGGAGCTTCTCCCCCATCTCCTGTCTGGGTCCCACCTGACGGAGACTGCAGCCTCCCTAACTGGGCATCAGAATGGCACCAAGCAGCTTTAGCTGCTTCCCTTCTCTGATGCTGAACTAATCCTGACCTGCCCCCCTTGCTGTGTGAACAGGCAGCTATTTATCCGAAAGTTGGCAGATCCATAGAGCTGCTGACCAAGAACCTTTTCCAGGCACATGTGCTGTCAGGAGGTCCTCTGGTGCCAACTTTCTTCTCAAGAGATGATCTCTGTCCCCTACTGACTTGAAGCACCAGGATAGATGTGAGTGGATCGTTAATATCTTATCTCCAACAGGGGCAGCAGATTGCCTTTCCCTTCTCAGTTCCTTAAGCCTGACTGGCACGTTCGTCAAGGAGTACACGCTTACTTTATGATAACTGCATCACAATAAGGCTTAGCATGGCACGGGCACACGCTGCCCCTCAGCCTCTGCTTGAGTCCTGGGGTCCACTTTGGAAATATCCTTTACTCAGATGACATGCATGGATGTCAGACAATAGGCTAGAAAAAAATCTATGTCCCCTGTGTTGTCTCTGAGAAGTAGAGTATAATTTTTGTTTTCTTCTTTGCACTTTTTTATGTGTAAAGCCTTTGATGAAGGACGTGCACTACATTTAGAATCAGAACAAAAAGCAGCAAGCATGGTTTTTGAAAACTACATGAAATGTAGAAAAGCAATTGGCACTTAGCTAACCTTTAGACTCTTGGAAGTGTAAGCAAGAGGAGGGTCTGGAGCACAGCAAAGAATGTGGGTCTCTAATCCCAGGGACTCCAGGCCCCAGGATGCAGGCCCCTGGCTCTGCTATTCCTCTCCTGCATCTTTTCATTCCTGTTTGACTAGCAAAACCAAGACTCTGCACAGGACAATCCTTGTTACATATAGAAGGTCTTCTATGTGGTGGGGAATGATCCTAAATGCCTTACAGATGAAAACCATTCACTTCTCACTCCCCTATCATGTAGATGCCATTGTTATCATCCCTGTTTATCAAGTGAGGACACTGAGGCCAAAGACTGCACAGCTCTTAAGTGAGGATGTGGATCTGACCTCAGACCATCTGGCTCTGACATCTGCATTCTGATAGCCAGGGCTGTGCTGACTATGGAGTCACTGTGGAGTTTCCCCTACAAGCAGGTGCAGCAGTCCCTTTGCTGGTGCTGCAATGAAATATCCAAGGCAGGTTATTTACCAAAAAAAAAAGTTTATTTATCTGAGTGTTGTTAGCCAAAGGTCCAAATACCATGGAGCCAGCTCTATGACATGTAGAATAGTACTAAACAGGAAGCCAAAGAGAGAGCTATGGTCAGGCTCAGGCTTTTATGAGAGCCCTCTCATAAGAACTAACCAGGGTCCAGCTAGAACATCTGGATCTTCTCCAAGGAAAGTCCCCCAATGCAAAAGTCTTCCCTTAGGTGTC